GTAGACATTCGTGTTTTCGTCGAAGCTGACGCTCTCTCCAGAGGAAGTAGATGACAACAGTGTTGCAGAACTGACCGATTTTCGAGATTTGACGACATCTCAGGACCAAGAAGCAGATGTAATTAATTTTAATAGTTTTAAGTGCTCAGAGAATACAGTATCGCAATGTACAAATGAAAGCAAGGAGTTACTCGTATATTGCCAAAATTTTAATAGAATGAAAAGTGCTTTCAAAGTGAAAGAAATTTATTAACAAGTATCTGCATGCAATTTTCATGTAATTTTAGCAACGGAGACCAGGAACCAAGAAGTTTTCGGTAATCGATTCAATGTGTTTGGGGACTTCTTTACTTTATTTAACGTCGGTCTCTGTTCCGCAATCTAGTGCCAATCACCGACGGACATCGATTGCCATCCATTGACGGCAATCGAATGTGCAGGAAGGCAGCTTCGACACCTGCGTAGGATATCGCACCCATTCAACACACACATGGGCCGAGACCAACGGCTTTACTTCCCTTCCGAAAGAAGACGTGACCAGAGATGTCTATGCCTCAGAAAAATCCCACCGGCCTCGGCTGGGATTGAACCCAGACCCATTGGGGTGTTAAAAGTTTTTGGGGACGATCGTGATAAAACGTTTTCCAACAAACAAAAAGTGGTGGTGGTGTAATAGTGGCAGTTAGTGTTGACTATGAATCTGAACAAATATCATCTTGTAAGTGCAAAGAGTTTGATCACGTTTGGGTCAAATGTTTCAATGGAGTTCAAACAATATTATTTCGAAATGTGAGGCGGAAGCAAATGTTCACATATACGGAGATTTTAACCAACGCTCAGTGAAATTTATTGTTGATGACGACAACGAATCTTTGTTGATACCGATTATAGGAGAAAATGAAACACTTCGTACTCTGTTCGACAAAAGTGCAGAAATTGGACTCAACCAAATAAATCACATAAAAAATCAAAATAACTGCTACTTAGATTTGTTATTCACTAATATTACTGATGATTTCTGGGATCAGAGTCACCTGCCCCTCTTTGGAAAAACGAAGTGTTCCACACTGCTATTGAATACTCCTTATTCATACATGAAAAAACGGCAACGTTGGATAACAATTTATCTGAAACATAATTCGACTTTCATAAAGCAAACTATGTACTTCTCAAAAAAAAAATTAGCCTGTATTGACTGGCAAACTACAATACGTAATCTTGAAATAGAACAGGCAGTGGACACATTTTATCAAATTATTTATAGAATTCTGCAACAGACGGTACCCTTGAAGCAGAGGAAACCCACAAATTCCAAGACACCAGTTTGGTGCAATAAAAAGGTTATCAATCTTAAAAATTGGAAACAGAAAGCACATAAGACTTATAAAAGAAACCAAAGTGAAGAAAATCTCACATTCTATCTAGAAATATGTGATCAACTGAATGAAGAAATAAAAAATGCATATGAAGGACATAATACCAAGGTAGAAAATAATATTGACACAGGTCCAAAATCATTTTTTAACTATGTTAAAGAGAGACAAAAATAAAAAAAACTTTCCTTCTTAAATGCAGTTAGATAACAGAACCGGCAACACATCTAGTAAGGTCATAAATTTATTAGCTGTCTTTTTTTCAGAACATTTACACAACTCATGACGAGAATGATCGCGATTATCAATATTTTTCATATCTTCCGGAACCAATGACGGATATTACAGCTAACAATTCATCCCTCAAAGAAATCTTGCATGCTCTTGAGTCCTTGGATACGTCAAAAGGTGCTGATCCAGATGGTTTACAACCTATTCTTCTAAAAACACTTTCAAAAGAATAAGTAAGCTGCCTTCAATTTTAAAGGAATCAATTTTTAATCCCTATTTTTAGAAACGATAAAAAAAAAATCGGATATTACAAACTATCGCGGGGTTTCAATATTATGTACCGTAAAACGGGGTAACATTGATAGTTTTTTTAAATATATACTTAATATTTTTTACAGCAATGACTGTTTTTCAAATTTTGTATTTTTAAAACAAGTACTGAGGATCCAAGAGTTAATTCGTTAGTAATATGTTGAACGAAAATTAAAGCATTTGCACTATTTTTTTAATTTTGTGACCGAACTTCAGTATTTTGATTTAGGGTTACTTTGATAATGCTCGATGCATGTAGAAAAAACATGAGTGAAACTCAAACAATTTAGTTCTTTAAATATGAAACTTTCAATGAGTATTTAATCAGCAAACTTCATAAGCAATAAGAATACCATATTGAATTTGTGATGACTGTATCGGAAATACATTTCATAAGTGATGGTTTGAGTGCTTTTTCAAAAAGGCGAAAAACACGAAAATGGTTTATTAATATGTTTGCAAAATATGCAACACAAACTATTTAAAAACTATATATCATATCAACGGAAATATCCTTAGCTACAATATGGAACCAATGTTTCTTATTTGGAAAAAGCACAGCGAGTAAATGTATTCCTTATATTATACTATCAAAATTACCCTCATTATCAAAGATACCCCGTTTTACGGTACAATTCTTAAACTTTTCCAATCCATCATAAATCTCTCATTACTACTAAACAACATGGATTTGTTAAAGGTCGATCTACAGCTACTAATTTGATACATTTTGTAACATATGCTTTAAATGTAATGGATAAGGGAAATTACGTAGAAACATTATATACTGATTTTAGTAAAGCATTCGATAGAGTGGATATACCACTGTTGATTTTCAAGTTATCCATGTTAGGTTTTAATACCAGGCTACTGCAATGGATCGAGCCATATTTGTCAAGGAGAACGCAAAGAGTAAGATTTGAAGCAAAATTGTCGTCTGTCGTTCATGTAACATCTGGTGTACCTCAAGGTTCGCATCTTGGTCCACTACTATTCATCTAATTTATCAATGATATAGAATACATTTTGAAGCTGCTTCATGTTTCAATATATCTTCTTCTTCTTCTTCATCGCATTTCAAGCTTATTGCGTATGGCATATTAGCTTGTTGCGTGCTCTCAACTTAGTGTTCTAGATGCACTTCCACAGTTATTAATTGAGAGCTTTCGATGCCTGTACCATTTTTGCATTGGAATAATTGTGTGGCAAGTCCAATCATACTTCTATACCCAGGGGCGTCGAGAAATTTTCCAATCGAACCTAGTCATCTCGAGCATGGTCTTGCTTTGTAGCTGCACCTTTACCGACTGAGCTAAGGAAGGCCCATGCAGATGAATGACATAAAACTTTTCATGGAAATATCTAAAGCATCTGATCTGCAGCTATTTCAGCAAGAAGTTGACATTTTTTACACTTGGTGTAAGAAGAATTTGTTAGAGCTTAACGTTAGTAAATGATATTCAATATCGTTCAAAAACAGTTTTTGTTGTTTGCCCTTCGAAAATTAGGTTGGACGAGATTACTACTTCCATCTTATAAATCACGATGTTTGTTAATAAATTTAGATAGACTGGAAATACGAAGAGACTTCGCCATGGTAACATTTATAAATCATGTTTTTGCTCAAAGAGTTAATGTTCCGGAAATTTTAGAAAATATAAAGGTATATGCTCCAACTCTGAGGATTAGGAATTTGTTTTACATTAACAATCAAAGAACAGACTATGCTAAAAATGGGCCTTTGAATAGAATTATGTCCTGCTATTATACATATACATACGCATATGCCCAATCAATTGATGTGACTATGAATAAAATAATGCTAAAAAAATCATTCTCTTCAAGGATAGCCAGGCAATAATATATAAGACATAGTTAATAAGCACTCATTGTAATTGGTCTACGATTGGTTGAAGACATAAATAAATGGATGGTAAATAAAATTTTCCATAAGTAGCATCTTCAAGTCGAAGTCGGAGTTGGAGTCGACAGTCATTGTTTTGAGGAGTAAGAGTTAGAATATGTTTTACCACCTCCACACCCCTAGAGTAATTATTATAATTATAATTTATTTAGTAGTTCTCCTTAGAGATCCAAGAATCAAAATCCAACAAAGTTTACAGGAATTCTCCGAATACCACGGTGGACGATGCCGTCTACCCACCGCAATATTTCGGCTGTCTTTGAACGAATTGATCTGCTTTTCTGTTGGTGATAAGTTTTTGGTTGACCCTAATCACATCCAAAAAAGGGCTCAATTCAATGAAAGACAACCGAGAAAATGCAGTGGGAGGACGGCCCCACACACCGCGCTATTCGGGGGATTCCTGTACATAGATTTTCGCAAGATCGGTATCACAAAATTAGCGTTGCTAATGAGCAAAAAGCGAATTAGCGATGCTGTGCTCATTTCTGTTAAGTTCCTGTAGAAAAAAGGAAACTCAATCGAATCTTATAAATTATCAAGAACGAGAAATTTGCAAACAGCTTTGTGAATATATTACCCATGTTCTTTTTCTAGTATTATAACCATTTGTACGACAAGCTCATGAAGATGATAAGATTGCCCAATCCATAAATATGCTGAACCCATTTTTTATAGCATGAAATGTGTGATACTGCGTTGTTTTCCAGGCATACACAATAAATCAGCATGGAAGATCTTGCTTTGTCATGGAGCCGCCCATTCACGCCGCATCCACCCACCGTTTATTTACCATTTCCGATCAGCTTGAGCATTGCTACATTTTCCGAATACGGAGGAAGACGTTCATTCGAATTAAGGAAAATATAACAAAGAATCACGCAGATTTATGGCTACGAAGTGAAAAGATAAACATATTTCCTTTCGGCCACTGCGTGCGATCATGCTAATTTTCTTAAAATAAATTCCATTAGGATTTTGCTTACTTGGCGCTTCTCAACCGCCGGGTTTTTTTTTTGTTGTTGTTGCGGTGCTGCCCTCGCTATGAATATAATAATTTTAATTCTTATGCTAGATCCACTACGAGAGGCGCTGCTCAATCTGCTGGGTGTGGGAGTGATGAAGGGTGAGGTTTTTTACTTATTTTTAACATTACGCACCTCTTCGATACACACACTACTGGGTCGATTTGACTGACTGACTGACGGGTTGGCTGCTGCCGCGTTGTCGCTCGATGGAAACCTGTATGATGATGCTCAAACACTCTTCTCGGGGGAGCCACTAACACCAACCGGAGCTCTCTGAATTTTCTCGCACAGATACACTGAACATCGACGACGACTGGCTGCTGAACTCGGCGCTTGAGAAAAACTCGCTTTTTACGCTTTTTGCTTCTTGTTGAACACGGCTTCCACCACTCGACTTGCTGTGGCACGGAGAGAAATTTGCTAACGCCACCAGCAGATTGCTCTGTTTCTGAGAAATTCTTCGGGGTTTCCCTAGTGACGACTATTTTCTTCTTCGGTTTCCTCTTGCTTCCGTCTCACTGAGCATAAATTTCCAACACAGGAAAAGTGAGTATACCAGCACACACAATTGTTGCCACTTTAGCTGCCACCTCGTCGCCACTCGTTTTTGCCACGTTTGGATGGTTTTTCCTTACACTATTATTATTAATTACAGGTTCGACGTCCACGCAAATGTATTGTTGGCACGACCTCAAAGGACCAAGAAAAGGAAAATCACTTCCAGAGCCCGCACACTTTTTTCCCTTCCTTCTTTTTATTTCTTCGCACCCACTTAGGCTTGACTCTTTTGCTTTAATATAATTTATTTTTCTCCTCTGCCCATTACCTCTTGCCGATCAATAACAATTACAATTTTTTCCCCATTTTTCTTTTTTATTCACACACTTTTGAGACTTTTTGTTTGCCCCTTGAACATGGATTTATGCTGTTTTTGCTTTCTCTTCGCACACACTCGCGCTCACTCGGAACGACACTATACTATGTGGGAGCTTGCAGAGTGTTGCTTTTGATTCAAATGTAAGAAAATATTTTTTCCTGCGTTTTCCTCTCCTTATTCTTCACCGAGTTTTCGCTTTCGATTGCTTGTACGTTTGCTTCGATTTTTCACTCGTACTCACTCCCTCGCACCGCACTCTGGTAGAATATATTTTTGAATGTGTTTCCTTGAATAGCAGTCGAAACTGAAACCCTATCTCGGAAATGGTTCAACTAGATTTCCATACCTCTCTTCGACAATTTACGGCCTTTGAGCTGTGATTTATGCATGATTTTATCAACCTTCCGATCGGACAGAATTGGAACCGAGCTTTTCACTTTCACTTGAGACTTTGGTTGGATGGGAAAATCTTGACAGATGGCTAAATTACTTCACCAGATACCAGACCGTCCACGTTCGGTGTTATCACTGAGATACTTTTGTACGCAGCAACTGCTCGTTTCGCACGATCCGGGCCTCACCAGCAGTGTAACACCAGCACTAAGGAACAAGTTTTTCCCCTGTAACTTCTATCGCAAAAAAAAAAGAAAATCAAATCGACGTTTTTATCACTCTGCACCCACACTCAAACTGTCTGGACTGGTCCGGTCTCGTCGGCGATCACCGTTCAAAATCTCAATCGACTGGAAAGCACCCACCAGTTGGAGTCAATTCTCTAAACCTTTCGCAGACAAAGTGCCATCACTTATTCACCAAATGCATTACTTATTGATGCAACTCAATTATTTACGCAAATTTTTCGAAAATATCCTTCAAGATGTAATCCCGAGACAAAAAGACACTCCACACACAATCTACCACCAAACACGGGGAACAGGTGAATTACCACACTCTTTTCCTATTGCATTTCTCCCAACAACGACGAGGATAACGACAGTGGTCCAGTAGTAAGTAGTCTTTTTGGACGAAATCTCAAAATCTCACACCAAAAGACCCCCACAAGATTCGGCAGAAGCAGCAAGGTATGGAAAATCTCTCCATCAGAGTCTGTTTTTTGTTCTTTCTGTTCGCCAGCTGCCAGGCCACTCGCGGTGGATGATTCCGTACGGGTGCATAAATTTTAACCAACTGATGCGAAAAGAGGAAAATTTGCTCGGAAAAGCGTACCATGGGAAAATTTCTGCTACGCGCGTACTGGCACCAATACCAGCGCAGAGCAGCACACGGTCCGCGATCCTCTCCCGAAAATCTGTGGATGGATCCTCCTGTTGTGAGGCCCGTTGCTTATTGCCACCTTGGTCAGGCAAGCTAAGTATGGGAGCGCTGTTGTATGTTAAATGGCTTCACGGAGAGTTCGGGAGACAGACGACGACGGACGACAGTTGGAAAATCGGGAGAGCGGGAGCTAACTTTGGCGAGAGCGAGTTTATGCAACATAGCAACACAGCAGCCATCATCATCATCGTCTTTGTCGTCATGCTGCTACTACTGAGTTGCTACTGTTGCTGGTGCTAGTGTCAGTGGGAGGCAAAGAAGCCACTCGCAAATCAGTCCCATTGTACCGAAGTTCGTTCTCTCACGCGGCGAGCTAGGATAAGTCTCACTGAGGACCACCCACTCAGTATGGAGAGTGCCCGGGAGCGCAGTGTTGTCAGAACTGTTGGACTATTCTTTAGGGACATTACTCCACTAATATTATTCCAGGATCATTAGTTTAAAAGGACTGTTCATGTTATAAAACAAACATCAAAAATTGTCTGCAACTTTTTCATTTTTCTTTGGATCCGTATTAATAAAGAATGAGAGAAGGATTAGTAATTTACATTTAATTCCACTGCCTTATTTGCTTACCCTTGACAGACATGCGTATTTCGTCTTCAATGTGCAGACCAGTGTTGGAAAAATATCAAAAAATCAAATCTCACCAAAACCCAAGATCACGCTTGATTTTCGAAGACAAAAATCAACAAGCACACAACCACATAACATACAGGGGTTACTCAAAATAACTAGGATAGGCAAATTTTTGGTCAACTTTGGAGTGTTGTAACTTCGTCAAATATGATCCGATTTAAAATCTTCCAAGAGCATTTGACGGGAAAACTAATATTGTTCTACGATGTAATCCTGGTCACCGGATACCGGATACCGGAGATATTCCGGGTTTACGGAGGGCTTGTCTAACTTGCTAAATTTTTGGTGAAATTTTATATATGATGCTTATTAAATACAGGGGAAATGTAGGAAATGTCGGCCTACATGTCCCTAATTTGGGCCCATCGCTAAAAGTCTGCTATTTATCAATTTTATATAGATGAACGCGTTGTTGGGACGTTACTAATGGATATTTTTGGTTGCTATTGAAAATTTAGTTGATTGCTGAATTTATGTATGGGCCCAAATTAGGGACACTTAGGCCGACATTACCTGCATTTCCCCTATATGTTTTTTAGTAAATACAACGGAAGAAAAACCATTTCTATAGCGAATCATATGTCAAGAACTAAAATCGGCTTATTATCAACCGAGATATGGCCATTTCCCTGGAATCGGTTCTGGTGAAGGGTTCTGAATGCGGGCAGATCATTTAATCACTCAAAAAATGCCGTGCGACAGCTCTTTCTTCATGGTTTCTCGTCAATAGACTTTCGATAAACTTCAAATGCATCATTGACCACATTGGCCGCTCTTGGAATCACGGGATACCCCCGAGGTATTCTGTAGCAGGGGTCAATTGCGTTTTTACACCAATACATGCCGTGCGACAGCTTTTTCTGCAAGCTTTTTCATGAATAGGCTTTTGATAGACTTTAAATTGATTAGTGACCACATTGGCCGCTCTCAGGACCTCCGGTATGCCCCCGAGGGAACCTGGAGCAGAGGACAATTGCATTTTTACACCAAAACAAGCCGTGCGGCAGCTCATTGTTCATGGTTTTTCATGAATAGGCATTCATTAAACTTCAAATGGATCAGTGACCACTTTGGAAGCTCTCAGAATCACGTGATACCCCCGGGGGAACCTGTAGTAGGGGGCAATTGCGTTTTTACTCAAAAACATGCCGTGCAACAGCTCTTTCTTCATAGATTTTCATGAATATTATTTCTATAGACTTAAAGTGAATCATTTACCACATTGGCCGCTCTCGGAACCACTGGGATGCCTCGAGAGAACCTGTAGCAGGGAACAATTTCGTTTTAACTCAAAAACGTGCCGTGCTACAGCTCTTTCTTCATGGATTTTTCTGAATATTCTTTCTATAGACTTAAAGTGAATCATTTACCACATTGCCCGCTCTCGGGACCTCCAGTATGCCCCCGGGGGAACCTGGAGCAGAGGACAATGGCATTTTTACACCAAAACATGCCGTGCGACAGCTCATTCTTCATGGATTTTCATGAATAGGCATTCATTAAACTTCAAATGGATCAATGAGCACATTAGCAGCTCTCGGAATCACAGGATACCCCCGGGAGGAACCTGTAGTAGAGGGCAATTGTGTTTTTACTCAAAAATATGCCGTGTGATAGCTCTTTGTTTATGGATTTTCATGAATATGCTTTCTATAGACTTAAAGTGAATCATTGACCACATTGGCCGCTCTCGGAACCACTGGATACCCCCGGGGGAACCTGTAGCAGGGGAAAATTTCGTTTTTACTCAAAAACATGCCGTGCGACAGCTCTTTCTTCATGGATTTTCATGAATATGCTTTCTATAGAATTGAAGTTGGTTAATAAAAATATCGACCCCATTTCAGTGATTTCAAGTGGTATAGAAAGACATCGATCTGTTAAATCGATTATACCAGCTGTGAAATGAGGAAGGGAATCAAGGAGTTAGTTTATTTATTTATTTATTTTTATTTAATACATCCATCTGACAATAAGTCTTAATGAACCAGAAGCCATAACAAATACTAAATGTATCTGGAGTTAATAATACGTCTCTGGAATTGAGCAGCAGGTTCCCCAAACTCGAACAACTCTTCAACTGTAGAAAACGTGCGAATCATACTCGTAACAGGTTCATGTTGTCCAAAAGAAGAGCGGTGTGCAGGCATGGACAATCATTTGCATTCATTTCATACATTCATTTACATTCATTTGCCTCTAACTTTTGTCATCAACAGCATTCCACAAAATGATGTATGTAGCTTTTATAGGTACTGTTATTAGCTACAACTTTAGTTAACAAGTCAAATCCGTATCTCTTATGCATGACGAACAAGAGCGAACAGAAGCCACTACTGTTTTTCAGTGAATGTATTTTACATTCACTGAAAAACAGTAACAAGTTCTGCCCGCTCTAGTTCGTGATGCATAAAAGATACAGATTTGAGTTATGAGCAAAAGTTGTAGCTAATAACAAAACCTACAAAAGCTCCATACATCATTTAGCGAAATGCTGTTGATGACAAAAGTTAGAGGCAAATGAATGTTAATGAATGTATGAAATGAATGCAAATGATTTTCCATGCCTGGGTGTGAGTCTTGACGCAATAGGAACGTTGAGCGTAGAAATCTGCTTGGCGCACGAAAGTTCAAGCAAGAGAGTAAGTGGGTAGAGTCAATTTCACCACTTAATAACTTCGCGACGAATGTTGCCTATTGAATTTGTCGCCGTCGTTGTAATGTGTCCATGCTTAGCAAGCGACATCTCTCAGCATACGGAGGTAAGTTTAGTGGAGATCTCCAAGGAAGTTGTCTTAATGCTCGACGAATGAATGTTTTTTGGATACGTTCTATTCTGATGTTCCAGGAAAGTTGGTAGGGAGTCCAAACAACAGATGCAGTCTCGATAATCGGACGAACGAGTGAACAGTACAGTGCTTTTAAACAGTACGGATCCGAAAAATCTCTCGAGATTCTTGATATAAAACCAAGCTGACGATTAGCCTTAGTGATTACCATTGAACGGTGTAAGTCAAACGTAAGTTTAGGGTCCAGCATTACACCTAGGTCGCTTACTTGTTCTACTCTTTCTAGTACAAATCCATCAATTGAGTAATCGAATACGATTGGCGTTCTTGTGCGATTAAATGTCATGACCACACATTTTGATAAACTGACGGAAAGCTTGTTTAAGCGGCACCAATCAACAAATTGGTCTAACATTGCTTGGAGCTGACGGCAATCCTCGACGTTCTTGACAACAATGTATAGTTTGAGATCATCGGCGTATATGAGCACACAACCACTCGGCAAGAGGAGCGTCACATCGTTGAAGAAGATTGTGAACAGCAATAGTCCTAAATTGCTGCCCTGGGGAACACCGGAGGTTGCAGCAAATGGTGATGAAGTGCACGAACCCAGCTTGACACGAAGTGTTCTGTTGGAAAAATATGATTTCAGCCAATCAACCAAACCATCCGAAATTCCCAGGCGAGACATTTTCCGAAGAAGAATACCATGATCGATGCAATCGAATGCCGCTTTCAGATCGGTATAAACGGTATCTACTTGAGCCCTATTTTCCAAGTGATTTATACATGTTGAGGTGAAGTCCAGCAAATTTGATGTAACTGAGCGTCCTGGCATAAATCCGTGTTGCGTTGCTGAAATGTAGCTCTTGACATGAAAGAAGATAGCATCGTTCACAATGATCTCGAATAATTTTGAAGCTGCAGATAGACTTGTTATGCCACGATAATTTGTCACGTCACGTTTGTCGCCCTTCTTATGGACAGGGAACATAAAGGAATGTCTCCATATTTCGGGGAAAACTCCTTGGTGCAACGAAGCGGTAAAGATGCGAGCTAGGGGATCAGCTAAAACAGCAACACAGCGGCAAAAAATGATTGCAGGTACACCATCAGGACCCGGTGAAACAGATTTCTTCAACTTCCTAACAGCTTTAACGACATACATATTGCTAACCACAAATGTACGCAAATCGATGAGACCCTCACGAACATTGCAAGCCGCTCTTTCTACTTCATCTGCGTTGGCGGCTGAATCCGAAAAAACAGAACTGAAGTGACGGGAAAATAGATCACACGATTCGAGCATAGAATTTTATTTCTATTAAAATAATAATGACCTGGTTTATAATTCTATGCACTTCTGAACTTAGGGTTTTGTTTGTCGTTAACTATTTACGTCCTTTATT